AACTGCTGCACAAATTACCAGTCAAAAATCAACAAAAAGTTTTGTTCAACTACTAACAAAGATGCATGAAACCAAAGCTAATTTATCACAAGAATGAGAAGATATAGGGTTAAGTTATTATAAATTGAATAATGACTAATACTGAAACTTCAACAGCTTAAGCTTTGAGATTGTTTGTTAAACATAATATATGCAATCCGATCTTTCAATATTCAGTAATGTGATATTATTCTCTTAGTTCATTTCATCTTAAGAACAGAAAAAGAGTTTGATGTTGACTGATACAGAAAGAAGGTAACTAATTTAAGGGAAAACTAGGGATCAGAACCCTCATTTTTATCAATCTTGGGTTCTGCATTTATGCTCTCTTTTTTTATTAGGATTTCTTTTTTTTATTTGTGCATTATTCCAGTGACATCATTTCCTAATTCAAGTACTAGTAGATCCTGATTTCTTATATTTTCACATCGGTTAGTAAACATCCTCCAAATTAACGATGAGTATTATTCAACTAATGACACTAATTAAGTATATGGAAGGTTTCACGTATCTTCTATATCTTTTACTTCTATTTTGTCTATCTGATATCTAAATACATAATTATTATACATTGTTTCTGAAATAAAATTTCGAAGATAAAGAAAACTACTTGAAAGAAATTATTCGAAAACTACAAATTCCTACAGATAATTATCTGTGACCACAATATATTCCTTGCAATAGACCCACGCAAACCCAATGAATGTGGACGTGCTTCTGAACCTCATACCATTTGCATTTGGCTGATATCTCCTCGGTCTCCACCTCAAGAGAACTGGCTCGCAGCGACGGCTAGGGTTTGATGGCCCACGACGAGCTGTTCGTGGAGACGAGCATCCCGGAGCAGAAGGCCGTCGGCGGCGTCCTCTTTCCGGCGGTCCTCTATCCGAGCCCGACCGTGGATCTCGACCTAGGCAGCTTCAACGCGGCCGTGGCATCCCAGAGGCCCCGCCTCGAGTCGCTCCTTCGGTCGAGCGGCGCCATACTCCTGCGCGGCTTCCCTGTCCGGGACGCCGCCGACTTCGACCGCGCCGTGGCCGCCTTCGGCTACGACGAGCTCCCCTACGTCGGCGGCGCCGCTCCCCGCACCAACGTCGTCGGCCGCGTCTTCACCGCCAACGAGTCCCCACCCGACCAGAAGATCCCCTTCCACCACGAGATGGCGCAGGTTCCTCTCTCTCTCTCTCTCTCTCTCTCTCTCTCTCTCTCTCTCTCTCTCTCTCTCTCAACTGACGGAGATTTGGGGTTTGCCAGGTGCCGGAGTTCCCGACGAAATTGTTCTTTTTCTGCGAGGTGGAGCCTGGAAGCGGCGGGGAAACTCCGATCGTGCTAAGCCATCTAGTTTACGAGAGGATGAAGGCAAAATTTCCGGAGTTCGTGGCGCGATTGGAGGAATATGGCTTGATCTACACGAGGGTTTTGGGGGAGGGAGACGATCCTTCGTCGCCAATCGGCCGTGGATGGCAATCAACTTTCTTGACCAAAGATAGAAGCGTGGCAGAGGAAAGGTTTGTGGTATCCTTTGGTTATTTGCACATAGATAGTCACATCTTGACACTGTCCTCGGTTAATTTAGCTTTAGCATTAATAGAATGCCAATGCTTTTTCTATCATTATTGTAGTCATGCAATATATGAAGGAAGGTACCCTCCTATATCATAGGACATCTAATAAATCAGAGTAGATGGAACCAGTCAAGAAGATTATATCAAACAAATTCAGAAAAAAAATAACTAGAATCGAAGACGAAACTATTTCAATCGACGCGTGACATCTTAATTTAAAGATCAAAGGGCAATCAATCAGTTCTTATGTTCGATTAAGGTTTAAGTGGTGGGTTATGTTAGAATTTATAAAAATGGACAAAGAAGGTAAATACTGGGAGTTGAAATACGATACTTATAAAAAACAGAGTTATGTTTTTCAAGAAGAAATATAACTATTAAATCAAAGCTGTCCATAGAAAATATCGGTGGTGTCTCGTCATTCCAAAATTTGACAGAGGTATGAACATCAGCAAACAAGAAATGTCGTGGAAACTTTAACGGCGGCATCTCAAAGAAGTAACTCTTTGCTTTGAATACTTTAGGACCCCAGAATGTGACATGGGTTAGAAGGCATGTTGATCATTTGTTTGGGAACTAATCTCACCCAGATATGCTAAAGATCGAGATTCTAAGCTCACCGGATACCCTCCGGGATAGCCTGGCATTCTGCTTGAATAGCATTAGTCAGTCTTCTATGGTTACATCCAACTGCAATGATCCCCCCACCCATACATTGCTTATAACAAAACCACAACTTGGATTATTTTTGTTAGACATGAAAAAACCACTGCAATCCAAATCGAAACAAGACTCTCTAGTAGGAAACACAAAACCATCTGGAACATATGCTCTGCTGCCACCCTCAGTTTGTCTAGAGCCTGGAATGTGGCCATTGGTTAAAGCTAAAACCTTGAGACAAATGGACATTGGCTGGGGCCGATGGTTGCAAAAATGGCATTCATTCCAATGCTTCCCGTAAGAGACAAAATGAATTAGCTATAAGAGCTTTAAAGCCTCACAGCCGATAAGCTATCAGTTTTACTCCAATGGTTGCTAGCATTATTGAGAATAGCAAGTAACCTTTTGGCCTGAATGGTAATCTTAACTAAACCCTAAGACCAATTCTCCCATCCTCAAATTTGGTAAATGTATCCCAACATCATATTGCTATGGGATGGGTTGTGATCCCATAAGAACCTACGAGATAGCTTGACAATTCTGTTTATGCTCTTCACTGAGATCCAAGCGTTTATGAGGAGGATGTGAACAAGAATAGCATTAATATGGAATTGATAAGAATGACTTTTCTGCTTGGGAGATCAAACCTATTTACCATTTTCTCAATAAGGGATTCTTGATACCTTCCAGAGAGTCTTCCATGACATATCAAGGCACCTTGGTACATACGCCAATTGCCCTCCTTGATCCCAAGAACATCATGAATGTATTGCCTAGTGCCACGGTTATAATTCTTTGGAAAAAGGATATCAAAGTTGCTTCTATTGAGGTTAAGAGTTAAGACCAGTGATGTTAGAGTACACGTCCAACATCTTAGCCAGATTATGTCAAGACCTATTGTTACCCCTAAAGCAAAATGATGATGTCATTAGCAAACATGAGGTGAATAATTTTAACAATTTACAATGCTGGAACTGAAATTATAGTATATTTGGCTCAGGGAAACTAATGATTCTGTAGCTCAGGTATGTTGGTTAGCTTTGTCGGTCTTTAACTCCTACAAAAGCATTATAATTCATCATCTTAGTGGTCTCACAATTTGCTCTTGGAAACTTCTTTGATGGTTATTCCTCCTACCAAAGCCTCATTTTTCTGTCATTGGCATGTAGCCAGATATAAGGTTTTTCAGACTTCAATCTAATTGAAAACCTTTATTCCGGACATTCTTAAATATTTTGCTTGTGAATTTGAAAATCTACATATATCGATCACAGGGCAGCTCACCTAGGAGTGAAGTTGGAATGGTTGGAAGACGGAGTGAAAACAGTCACAGGCCCAATTCCAGCAATCAGACTAGATCAAACTAGAGGACGGAAAATA